ATATATTCATATATCCAAAGCCTATTTTTGCACTATATACAGCCTCTTCACTTATCTCGTCAGCATTTCCAGGGCCTTGATACTCTCCTGGTCAATCTGATACAAGGTCTGATTAAATACAGATCCATCAGATTTGGGCTTTTAGCTGTAACGTGCTCTCTTGATCACCTTGACATTCCTCTCTTCACTTTGCATGAGCTGTATATTCAGAGAAAACAGCAAAAATCTTCCTCTCAGCCCAGACTGTGATAGAAGCATGTGACACAGGAATTACTTCCTGACCATAGCAACAGCGTCACCATTATTCTTTCATGTTTCAGATTCTTGAGTCACTCCCTACCTCAAATCTCCTTGAGCACACATCACAAAGAAAAAGGATGCACATATGTGGAACACATGGTGCTCTCATTTCCTCTTGTGTTTTGATCCCTGACGCTAGTTGGAGAGGACTGTATTTTCCAAATCTCTCTCAGCACCATCTACCTGACCCAACCTTCATGCCCATCGTGCTACTTCTAAGTTACCCACTCCAGACTCATCCTCCACTCAGCAGAAAGAACTAAACATTTCCAAGTCCTATTAAATACCTAGAGGCAAACATATGCTACAGGTGAAGAGAACTTGCTTCTTTCTTCCTCTAAGTATGTGAGAATTCCAGATATCCACCTCAAATCATATAGTTACATGAGAGGATTTACTCCTCTTAGAAGAAAGGCAGATTAACAGCAAGCATCTGAGGAGCTGTAACCATCCAATAAGCATGAAACATAAGAAGAATTGTGATCAGATGTCAGAAGCAGGCAATGCTGGACATGAGAAAAGCCAGATAATTTCTGCATATCACATTTTCTAGTGAATTAATTTGGCACCATTCCCAGACCATTTTTATCCACTCTCCACTTTTAATTAAGCAGTCAAACTTTCCTGGAATAGCCCAGTGCATAAAGCCAAGTTTTGTGACTATTCAGAGAGAGATTTTAAATCTGACAAATACTCATCCTCACTGCAACTTCTGGTACAAGGTTTATGTGAACACTTATCACACTGAGCAGAGCTGGTTAATGGTAAGTGGGTATACTCACACAGAGCTTTGAGAAACAAAGATGTTTTAGAAGACTCTCTAAATTGATTTTAATAAAACTGCAGGAAAACGGATGCCCATCAACCTTTTCACAACAGAAAAATACAACATAATGGAGGGAACAACTTGGGCACAAGTCACACCATCATCTGCCATTTTCTACAGTACAAGTCTTCTCATATGAAATTATCACAAGTTTTGTTTTAATTTATTTTCACTGACTTTGATAATCTACCTTAATCTTGAGGAGTCCTAGGAAAGTCCAGCACAACATATAGCCACAGACAACATAGAACCTCCAAAGCCACTGGCCTGACATGCCAGCAGCCTGGAATGATGCTTGGCTACCTGAACACAGCCATACAGAAGAGACCTGCTCCTGGCTGGATGGAGAGTAAACCTCTGACACTGACAGATTCCACATCCATCTGCCAACACATACAAATATTTCTCAGGACTTGGGAAAACAAACAATGGTGTTGAAAGGGACACTGGGCATTAGGAGTAGGGTAGAAGATATGGAAAATATGGGGCATAAGTGAGGCAGAAGGTGAAAGGAGCAGGGACCATTGCACTGTGCAGGGCATCAGGGATGTTGCATTAGAGTAGGTGTCAATGGAGTGAAGATTTGAGCATCCCACACATACACTCATATCAGATATCCCAGCTACCGATATAAACAAAACATCATCTGGCTTTATTTTAAACTGCCCCTATACAAGGTACCAAAAGACTCTCTCTGCAGCAGAATGCCATGAAAGATGGGCAAGATGGTCTAGAGTCTCCATCTCACTTGGATTTCACATTGCTTAACCAAGGAGCTCTCTAAACAGCAACAAGTTTCACAGTTTTTCATGTGGCTGTTACTTCAGAAATGGGTAGTCCTGGCTAGATCCACACAGTTATGGCACCAGCAACCTGAAGACCTCAAATGCCTAACTAAGACCAATAAAGTCCATGAGTCACAGTCTCAGGGGAATCAGAGCTACTTGGCATGCACCCAAAGGAGGTCAATTGGAGCATGGGAGACTATTTCTAAATAACCCAGAGCTTTGCCACTGGGAAAAATAAATAGAACTATGTATCTAGTTTCCCCATCTTAGCTGGCTAAATAAATAGCTCTCATAGTGCACTCTCCAGGGCAGATTCTTAAAGTGACCTTGGCCCTGCTGCTGCCCAGGACAGGAGAATGCGGGTGTACCCACCAGAGAAGTGGTGTATTTTCAATGCTGCATTCCTGGCAGCTGATCAAAGAACAGGCATAACCTCAGCCCCCACAGTTGCCAGCTGTTCCTTCCCAGCAGGAAGGCAAATTATGGTGGCACATAGCTATGAAGTGGAGAGAAGGTATCAAAAACAAATACAAAGGGAGGATCAGAGGCTTGCAGGGAAGATATTGGAGTATTCCTCCATAGGCAGGTTACAGATGAGTGTTCTTTTCAAGTTCCATACTGATAAGTAAAATGAAGCAGTTTGGGCATTTTTTGGTGACCAACTAACTGACTAACACCAAAGTAACCCACTCCAGATTTTAGCATAGCCACAGCAACCTTACGAATAACTACACCAGCATCAGACAACCAGGAGCACACACTGAGCTAGACAAAGCACCCAACCCCTTTTTAGTCTTTCTCCCCATCTCAGAAAACCCATCCATAAGCTTCCTCCCCCAGTCACCCTACAGATTTTCAACAAGAGCAGCTCAAAAAAACCAGAAAGACATTTTCACATGTACCCACCTCCATTTGCTGATGAACTGTAAAGATGCCTGAGATTTTCAGACCATAGCTGCCCCAGGCATTTGCTAACACTGGGAAAAAAGAGCTGCAATCGACCCTACAGTTTGGACTTCTGGTCTCAGGGCCTAAATTCTGAACAGCATCTCTTGAAACTACTTATCCCCAGTGAGAGCAATGTTTCCAAAAGGACTACAAGCCCAATCCCCACTGAATAATAAAACCTAATGCCTTTAAATAGGTTGCAAATGTCTTTTAAACCAAAACAGGTTTGTGTGCTTCTTCTGATGTAAAACAGGCTATCTCCATTGAGCCGTTGACCTTCTCAGCTGCTCCTAGTTATTAAATGAAACAAGCAGCTTTGAGCCTTAGGCGGGCCAGCTGAGTGGCTACCAGGCTTCAGCTGATTTATGGTTCTTGCTCGTAAAATCAAGTGTAGGTGGGAGCCAAATCACCTTTTTCTGTGAGCTAGATCTCAGGAAAACCTTTATCCTTCATTTGCACACTCAGACAAAGAAGTTTTAAGAACAGCAGAAGTGTTTTAGGAAAATAAGGAAATTAGGAAAGTGAACTAGCAATGAGGAAGCTCAGGTAGGCTAAAATTAGTGTATAAGATACCCTTTTCAAAGGGAAAATAAATCCAAACTTTTCAGCAATAAATAAAATGGCTTAATAGCAATAAAACTAGAGTTTTATTGAGGGGAATTTTAAGTGTAGATTTTCTGGTGTGTGTGTCCCAAATGGAAAAAAAAGATCCACAGAAAAGTTCAGAACAATTCTTGTACATCAGATAAAAGGCAGAAACCCCCAAATATTGCACATCAGCAATCTAGAATCATTGAAATCAAAAGCAGTGTGTTTCTCTGAAGGCTGTTTCTTTCCCTTGCTGCTTGGAAGTAGGTATTCTAGACCACTTGACAGCCTACATTACAAAAACTCTCAGCAGCACTAGCCACATCTCCAAATGAGTCCCAGCAAAAAGCCAGGTAAGAAATGTGTGACAGATACCAAGTTTTCCACTTCTCTGAGAGGAAACAGTGAAGAGGAAAAGCAGCTTTGCACAAAATCCATTTAAAAAGCCTTTATGAAGCCAGTCCCATTGCTCAAAGGAGAACTGATTCAGGCCCAAGTCCCATTACACACAGATCCTGACCTATGAGGCTATCACAGAAGTAGAACTAACACTAGTCTAATTACAACCAGCACTTCCATACAAAGGAAACCAGGGAATTGGGTGGAATCTGTTTATTTAGTTAAGCACAGGCATGTGCCCATCCATCATTTTTGGTTGTCTCAGAAGGCAAACCCAGCTCTGGGTCTAACTCATCCTGGGCACTCCTGTCATACATAAAAGCAGTTCCCCACATTCCCTGAATTGTAAAGATTAAAGTTATAACATGAGACCAGAAGGTAATCTCGGAGGGTGCTCAGATACCCTGGAACTGGCAGGTTCTGTGTTGCTTAAGCAAATGTGATTGTGTGGGCACAGCTCATAGCAGTAAACTCTTCCTCCTGTTTGTAATGAGCAAGTCACAGAAATAAGTTATGCCCTTCTGTGGATGTTTTCCACATTACAAAGTTTGCCTTCAAAGGCATCAGAGGAAATGGTCAGAGTGAACAACTTGGGGACTAGTGTTCAGCATTAAGATGGAGATATAAAATGGACCTGCTGTCTTCAGAAAGCAACAATTTGAAATATTTGGGCTGGGCTTAAAAACAGGCCCAGATTAATATCAGTAAGAACTGTCATACTTCAAAAATATCATGATGACCCAGTCACAACTGTCTGCAGGAGGAGGATGAGGCAGCACTGCCACGATTCCAGCCTACTTGCCCCTGGGCCTGTGGTGGCAGGAGGTTCTTGCTAAAGCAGTTTGTCTACTGCCAGCAGATGCTTCTCAAAACCCAGCCCTGGCTGGGAAATGAAGGACAATACCTTGCAATCAAATTGCCATCACTGTATAAGGTACACTACAAATAAATGGTCACCAGCATGAATCATATGATGAATCATGGCATTAACGTGTCCTTCAGGGAACTATTTCTACCTCTTAAAAACCCTGCAGATTTAAAGTTAGTGGAAATTGTGCGTCCATTTCTGATTTCTTTGTCTCTTCAAGTGGAACCAAAGTTTTATTTCTTGCTGTCCTGGAAAGATGAGTTCCCTTGGGACTCCTGCCTACCTGACTGTCCTGACGTGCCTCTTGCTGTAGGGGGTGATGACTTTGAAAAGCAGCTCCATGGCTCCATTGATGCCAAGTGTAGTTCCTGTGGTAACTAAGACAATAAAAGAGAAAAGCAGTCAGATCTGGAGCAGGCAGTCAGCCACACTGTGTTTCGAGGTGATGGAGGGAAGGCAGTAGCTGTCCCTGGGGCTATAAGCAGATTTCTCTGAGCTCCTAACTGGACTTCACAGATCATTTTACAAAGAAACTGAAGCACAGAGCTGTCTGTGGACACAACCTGAGCCAAGAGCAGACATAAACTCAGTCCTGCAGTTCTTCCCTGAGTTCCCCAAAGCCCTTTTTCCTGTAAATATTGTATCTCCGGAGATACAAATCACAGTTAAATAGGGTCACCTCCCAGCAAAATGACAGGGCTCAAATTCATCCCACATTTCCCACAGGCAACTCCACAAAGACAATTTATTTCATAGGGGCATGGAGGGCAGAGTTTTCTTTCTGTGCTATTATTCAGCAGTACGGAAGCGGTTTTGAGGGGCAGGGGTGCTCCTGAATGCAGCTTAATTTCAGCTAGACCAATTTTACCTTTAATCCCTCACTTGTTAACACACTGGGACCTTTTATAGATAGATTTTACAATCAATTCCAAAAATGCCTGATGCACAAACAAGGTGTTTAGCCAGACCTCCCCAATATGAGACAGGATCTCTGTGTAAAGAAGGAACAAATAGAGCCCTGAAATACTAAATGCAATCAAACAGGGTGAAAGGATCAGTAATCAACAGCAGCCAGAGGGAGACTTGGCTCCCTGCACACTGCTGGTTTTTGCCTGTTTGGTAAATATCTCCCAGTGGTCATCTCAGAGCTGACAGAGGGCCCATCATCTCCTGCAGTCCTATCACGTCCCTGCCAAGCTGTCCTGTGATGGAAAGCTTTGCAAGGCTTGCCAGCTACTTTCATACTAGCTGGTAATGCATTAGAGACAGGGTGACAAGGCTGCTCGAACTCGTCTCGCCCCAGAGCAGGACATGGGATGCCCACACAACTGGTGACAGAGACTGTGAGGGGAGCAACCCAGAACAAAGAACTGGTGGACGAGATTGTGACAGTGACTCTCTGCTTTCATATCTTAGCACTCTCAGAGCTTTATATGCTTTGGGGTCCTTTGTAGTTCCACACCATAAAACCAATGTTTAAGGTTGGGAACAGGTAATCTCCTGCTGGTACTCTCATCCAGAGTTACTGGCCCCCAGGTCAACCACAGCTAGGCAAGTAGCAGTTGTACTGTGTCTGTCCATCCACTTTTCACCTACATGTGAAGCTCAACCTAAAGCTACTTCCTCAGTAATGGTTTGGTACCACATCCATACAGATATTTACCTAACCTCCCCTGCAGCTTCCCAGCTGGGCCACAGAGCACATGAAGTCAAAGTTACTCGTGGAACAGGGAAGCACATCTGGAGAATGCTGGAGATACATGCGGAGTAATAGAGATGCTCCAGCAAAGAAGCAGAGGTGGGGTTCTGTGGTCTCACATCAACAGAAAAGAGGCCAAGCTGCAGTTTGCATCCTAAAACCTCTGTAAAACCTGACTGGGATGCAGGTGCATGGGAGCAGGGAGGAGGAGAGTGTGTAGATCATCATTTGGGGTGGGAGGCAGCACAGGGTCACTGCACAGCTGTGAAACCCAAATAAAGGCACATTTCATATTCTGGCCCTGGCTCCATATTCAGTCACACTCAGCCTTTCAAATACAGCTTATCACAGTGGGGGGGGGGGGAATGTTAAGGCTTGGCTGCTTGCCTGAGAAAGCCAATTGCATGAAGATAGCTCCTGTGCAGACGGGAGGGACCTGCAGGGCTAGGCACCAGGAGTGCTAAATCTTAGGATGCGTGTAGCAGACTGGAGACAGGATGGTTATGAGGAATTATCTGCTAGGTGAGGGATGTGGGGAAGGAAAGGAAAGGGTTAGAGCCAGCAAAGGGAAATTTGTGCTAACAAATTCCATGTTCTATAGCAGGGAAATCCTGTATGAATCTGTAATGATCCTAGAAGAGAATACTGGAAATCCCATTGCTTGAATCATTTAATATGAGGGCATTGACAAGCAAAAAAAGCTGGGAGAGTGAGTGAGGGGGATGCTAGAGAGAAGACCAGGATCTAATATGTCCTTCTTTGAGAGACCTTGAATGAGCAGCTAATTTCTCCCTCTCTTTCTTTCTCCTCCAGTATTTTCCTTCCTCATGGAGCTGCTCTGAGGATCAATACATTCAACAATAGTGAGACATTTGGCTGTTATGGTAATGGGAACTGCATAGAGATATGAGATGCCTAAGTCTCAGAGCAAAGGAGTTGACTGTCTGTATTCTAGAAAAGGAGATTATTGCCATGAATATTTTTCACTACAGCACTTTTATTTTCCATAGATGAAATACACTTTAAAGGCTGAAAAACCCTCTTTGGGGAGTACCTCTTTCTATTGTTGTTCTGGCTCTTGTGCCTGATGCTGTATATTAACAGTGCATTCAGGCACTAACCTTAATCAAGAATGATGTTTCTTTGCACTGAAATGACTGAAATATCTCTGGTGGTTGTCACACAGGGGAAAACAGGAAATTCCAGATGCTTACTGTTAGAAGCACAAACCCGCAGGACCCAGAGGCAGTGGGTGAGGTGTAGGTGGTGGCCCAAGTTTCTTCTTGCCAAGCTCAGTAATGTATCTGTTGCTTCTGCCTTCTGCACTTTCATCCCAAACTTCCTATCTGTGAAAGCAAATAAGAATCAAACTATTACAAAGACCAGTTCTCTGCAGCAGTGCTGGTAAACCTATTTGCACCCAATCTTATAACAAAGGCATTCAAATGTATCGGTGAATTAGATCAGCATTATTCTCACTGAAAACAGGAAAACATGGGATTTACCTATGGTCACCATATCAAACCATAGTATCATAGAATGGTCTAGGTTGGACCTAGACCTCACGGAGGTGGTCATCATACGGGGGGCAGACCTTTCTGACTTTGGCAACAACTCTGGTGTAGATGGACCATCATCCACAACATCCATTAACTAATCTTCCACATCTGGAGCCTCATACCTGCACAGAGGCACATGGGAATGTGAGGTAGGAAAGGAGAGTGTTCACTTGCTGCCCTAAGTCTAGACTTGCCTCCATTCTCTCCTTTCCCTTAAGCTACAGCTTTCTGCCTGTTGGGCAAGAAGCATCTCTATGCACTCCTTCCCTGCCTTGTTGCAGGATCTCAAGTGGCACACCCCAAAGATAAACTCACAGCTGTGTCAAGCACATCCCAGTGCTGATTATTGCTGGGGTTGGATCATTACTGTTAACATTTTGCCCACCACCACTCAGCAGCACCTCGTTGTCCGACCCTGGCCAGCAGCCGCAGCAGGGGCAGGAGGATGCTGTGGTCCAGCAGCTCGGTCCGGGCAGCAGTGGTGAGAGCCTGCAGCAGTGCCTCACTGCCCCCCTTGCTGATCACGTACTGAATCCTCCGGCCGGTCCCTGGGGAAAAGAGGAGAAACTCCGTTCAGGGGATCCCTTCCCTGAGCCACTGCGATCACAAACCCTCACCCCACATGGAGCACACAAATCTCCCATGGTGTTTTATTGCTGTAAACCCAAAGGCATTTGCAGAATTGATCATGGATCTCAGGTGTTTCTGGCCTGGGACATGGCAGATGGCTGCATGGGAAAACTCTGGGTCTGCTGCCTCTTGATCTGGCAGTTGCCATCTTTTCAAACCCTTTTTTTTTATTGTGTGCTAAAATACAGCAGAGAGGAATAAGCAGAGATACCAACAGGTTTCAAAGGAGCAGGAGGCTCAGTGATCTTTTCTTAGATACTGGAAATTAAACAAGCAAAGGACTAAAGCTGCAACAGTCTTCTGCCAAATGAAAAGGAATCCTTGGGAAGCTTCGGAGACAGCGTTTAAACAGATCTAGGTCTCCAAAGAAACCACACGCCAATCCTGTGAGCCCTACTGTGTCAACAACACTGATCCGTGGGCAACTTCAGGCTCTATGGTTGGAGGAAGCTGCATGTTCAGCTCCTGGATGGGAGACAGTACATTCTATCCTCCATGGAGGAAATCCTTCCAGCTAGCTGAGGAGCAGCACCGCAGGGCTTCTAAAGAGAGGCCCAACTGAATGGTCCGTGTCTGTGCCAGAGGCTCCAGCACTTTCAAGGCAGCCCCTACAGCCTAACTGCTTGGTTGGGTTGAGCGTTGTTTAACAAATGGTATGTCTGAGATGGAGCAGGAAAGAAAAGAAATGGGGTTATTTTTTCAGTTCTTTTGGCAATTCACTTATTCTTTCACATGGCCGGGGCACGTGCAGCAACATGTCATCCCTGCATCCCCCAGGCGGAGGTGTCTTGTTGGGAAATGCTGAACACTTATTAGTGTCTCTGTGCTATGGGAAGTCTGGCTCCGCTCCCCATCTCACAGCTCTTTCTCCAGTAGCACTGGTGAACATTTCCAGTGGTTGACTGCCTGGGATTATAAAATACTTTGGAGCTCATGGGCGCCTTTTAATGTAAAAGAGAAAAAAAGGGGGCTTTCTCTAGATCTTTTTTCCCTCTTTACTTACTTATAAAGCTCGGTTTTCCAAACACAGGAGTAAGGACTGTTGATCTCTAGATACAATTCATGTTTTGTTCACACTGCCAAGTTTATGCAGGAATGAATTCCTTGGCCTATCTGAGGATCCTTTTTCTGCCCCTAGCCTGCAGGCATAGCCCCACAGCTTTGCTTCCTTACCCAGAGACAGCAAATCAGTGAGGACACTGAGGATATTCAGGATGACATCCTTGTCACCAGAGCTCTGAAATAGAAACACACCAAATTTAGGGATCAGTTCAGGACAGTGAATTTCATGCAACACAGGGCTGTGGTGCATCATGTAGTGCAGAGGCCCCGAGATCCTTGTTTGGATACTGACTACTTTTTGTGCCATCTGGCCAGTGAGTATGTGGAACCATACGGATAACACATTTTAAAAGCCTCTGACAGACATATTGATCATACTACACAATATTTAATACACAGTAGAATCTCCACAGAATTTACATCCAAATTCTGAATTACATCTCTTTGGTTTTGGTTTGGTCTGGCTACTTCAAAGTTCAGGAAATTCTGTATCACACCGATGTTAAACGTGGGGTGGATTTCCATGACAGCATCCCTTACTACTGGCAGTTGAAGAAGAATATCTTTAAATTATATTAATCTCACATTATCTCCCACTAAATGACTAAAATAGAATAATATCTTACACATCTATGGCTTCTATATTTCTAGCTGTTGAAGTGCTTCAGAAACTTAACCTACTTTGCATTCTGGATATATGGGATCATTTTACCAGCCAGACTGATTCAATCATTCTCTGAGATACTTAACATTACACAACCAAATATTTAAGACAAGGAACTGAGAAGTAACACCTAGCAAAAAGAAACTGTAGAAAGAATATAGGAAAAATTAATTCTATGGCTCTTAATGTATATGGACTTTTTTCCCAGTCTATCTCTGCTAAAGACACAGCACAAACTTTGCATCTCTAAAAGCCAGAATTGCCTTCATACTAGTTTTGGTCAATTACCAGTGCTAACAAACTTTAACTGCCCAATACACACTTCAAGCTGGCTTAAGTGAGCAATGGGAACAAAAGTATCAGCAGGTGTATGAGACAAAAGAAAAAGATGTGATCAGTGGAAGGGGAAAGAAGAAAGAGGAGTCAGGTGGTGATGAGAGATTGGAGCAAACAGACAGAGATTCACTTCTGAAATGGGGATTCAAGGGAGGAGGGTCTGTGAGCACTGCTGCCTTTCTAAAGACACCTTACTTTTGTTGTTAGCTAAAATCCACAGGGAAAGTGCACGTCTCATTCCCATCTCAGAGCTTGCCCATGCCCAGAGTGAGAACCTGCTGTTTCTATTCGTTACTACATTAATTCAACAAGCAGAGATCTCTGCACTGAACATAAAAGTTCAGCCCTTTTATGAACCGTGTTGAAATCGAAAGGCTTGGTATGATAGGATTACTGCTTCTTTCAGAGCCAAGACAAACAGAATATGTGGCTTTAATGAAATCCAGTAACTCTCAGTTCACCAAGTTATTGCTACCCTCACCTTAGGGAAGGAGTGTAAATTCGTGTTACTGGCTCAAGGGACCACACAGAGAGAAAAGGCTGCAGCAGGGTCAGAGCAGTTCTGGATACCATTAATTCTAGGTAACGTATATAGTTTTAGTCATATTTTAATCTTGATAATTCGTGTCTTTATTAATTAGTCCACAGTCCTGTGCTGTCTCAAGTCTCCCAGAGCAAACATAGAGCAACCAGAGCTCTCTTTCTAAGAGTCTCTTGGCATTTTTTAGCATAGGGACTTACTAGTCAGGGACAGGCTGTCAGGAATGATGAGTATCCACCAAATTTACTGACTCCAGGGAGAGTTACTGGTCTCAGCACCTTTTTAAATATCAGGGTTGCCTAAATCAGACTGTCCTCTGGTTTTATCTTGCTGCCTCTCAGTATCCCTTTCCTCTGTAGGTGGATGGATTACACATTAAGGTTTCAGTAATGAAGTCTTCATTGATTTATGCTCCTATTACACTGGGTTGTTTATTTTAACTGATTGGATTGTGGGTTTCCTAAGCCATTAACACAAATAGTGATGACATAAGATATCCTCTGACTTTCCATGTGCTTTATCCAGGGACTTAAACGAACAAAGAACTTGAGGGGACATGAAAGATCAACCTTTAAAATGTGCAAATTAGAGCTGAGTGATATTGCCATATATATTACCCGAGTATTTACTCTTCATATTTTACCACTAAAACTCTGACTGTGTTGCTTACCTCATCATTCCCCTTCCTCCGGAACACTAAAGAGGGAGTTGGATGACTTGTGAGTTTGCTGAAACAGTGGATAAACCCCTAGCCCCATCACAAATTCAAACATATTTCCCACTTTGGTGGCACCACTGAATAAGACAGAACACTGCAGAAGAACACAGCTCCAATTTATAACAGCAAGACAACACAGAAAAAACAACCCTGTTGTCTTGCAAGATGCCAACTTGCCTGTTGAAAAGGAACAGCTCAGATTTTGACTAATTAGCTTGAGATTTTCAAAGTCATCAAAGATATGTGGACACTGAAATCCATTAGAATCAATTGTTTAAATTAATACTTATACCAGACTGATTGTGGATGAATTGCCAACAAATCCATTCATAAAAACTGTTCGGTAAATCTTTTTGAACAGTAAGTACAAATGAGAAAATCACAACTTGTGCCTCATCTAAAAAAGATGAATAGAGTAATTTCTTTAATGCAAATTACTTACCCAGCTCTGGCTAAAATAAACACATCAGTTATTTTTATTGAAAGATATGTTTGATTGTCCAAGAACAAACCATAAGCAAAGAAAGAAGTAAAATTCCTCTTGCTAAATATTTTCCATTCCTGCCAGCGCTTTTAAATGTTTGATACAACATCTATATGTGCACAGATTCATGAAGATGCATTTGTGGTATATGGGTGGAATAAGAGCAGAGAAAAGTTCCCAGAGGCTCAAGTTAGATTACAGAATCACCAACCTCCTGCAGGATTTCATTAAAAGGATTTAAAGTTAGAGCCAAATTGTTACCTCTTAACAGCCTGTAGCTGCCTTTCATGCTGCCTTTCCGGCTTGCAGTTGGACAAAGGCTAAAGTAGCAAAAATCATCACTTAAAATATCAGGCATGACTGTATTTTTGGATGGAACCTCTCACCTTAACCTTGCTTCAACAAAGCCTGCTGCCTTCCTCACCCGCCTGAGAGTATCACAGGGCTGAGTTCAGATGCGTTTAATCAGCTCCCAGCCGATAGTCACTTTCTGAGCTTTTTTCTGGGAATTAATCCCTAAAACACCGGGGCTTTGGTTAGCTTGGCTGGAGTTCCTCATAGATAAACAGCAGGAGGATGGAGAAAGCCAGGAATGAAAAACTACCCCAGCACATAGTCATTGATATGTTACAGGCAGCAAGTGATTAGGTAGTGACCTTGGGTTTGGAGGAGAACAGCTTGAGCCCAAGATCCTTCTGATTGGAAGCTCAGGTTTTTGCTGACCTGTGATTAAACAGGGAAGGAGCTCCTGTCTCCTTGTCCTGCTCCTGGGAACACAGCAAGACAAGCTGTTATTTACTCAAGATTATAAAATTGCAACTGAGCCACAGGAACAGGTAATCTTGTTTTGCATGGGAAGGCTCCTGGGACTAGAAGACCCAAGAGGTGGGATTTTTCCTGTCCCACCAGAAGGACAGCAGCTGTCAGTTAGCACTGGCTTAAAACAAAGACTTCCTATAAACTCAGTCTTTTGTGTAGCTCTTGGGCTTTCATGTCTTCTGCCCAAAGGCAAGTATTTCTCCAAATGAGACATTCAAACTACTGAGAGTGTTTGCTGTGATTCTATGCATTAATGCTGAAAGAAAGGAGGATGCCCAGAAAGAAATGAAACAGCATTGGTAAAAAAAATAAATAAATAAATTGTGCAGTGTGATATTTACTAATAAATATTTTATTTGGGGAAAGAAATACAAAGCAGTTATTCCAATCACAAAACAATAAATGCAAATTTAAAGCGGTCGCTCCTGCAAGACAATGCATAACCTGATTTCTACCAATACTCCTATTAAGTAATTGTTGAGTATAGTCTCTCAAAGCTGTGTGACTACTTAGGGGAAAAACCCAACCAAACACAAAAGAGCCTGTTTTTAAAAGTTATTCCTGCACTGGGCTAACAAACCTCCAGACCTGTTTTTTTTTTTAAGGAATAGGATGTCCAGTTCCAGGGTTGGTTTGTTTGCTTTTAAAAAGCCTGTTTCTAAATATCTCCGTAGAATTTGGTATGTTCAGAATACGTCCTTCCTTCTTCTCTTATCCTTAATAAATTTATTCACACAAATAGCATCAGTTGGAAAACTGTCTGTGTAAAGAGACTTGCATCTGCAAGTAAAATTTCTCATCCTTTGTATTCAAAGCTTATTGAAGAGAAATCTGGGTGCAGAATTAATACCAGCTAAAATCAAGACTAGGTTATGGGCCAAGCAGAATTAGTCCTCACTCTCTCATGAGACCTCTAGAAACTATTGGGCTGCTAATAACTGTATTAATGCTTAAATCAGAGAGTCCCCTCCCGATGTTCCGCTGCCAGCGAGGTAGAGGTGCGTATCAGATCCAAATGCTGGGCACAGCCACTCACCACTGGCGTTATGGATTTGCCAGCTGGATATCTTCATCCTACAGCTGACTATCCAGCCTTACAGTAACTGTGAAGCCAGGTTTGGTGCCTTATGTTCTGTGCCTTGTCAGAGTAAATTGCTTTTTCTAACTCAAGTGGAGCTAAAAATTCGCACTTAAACAAGAGAGCAAAATACCCTGGAGAGTTTCTTGTCTGTGTGCTCCCATCCTCAGCCTCAATATTCAGCCAGCTAACCGTGATTTCTTCTGGTTGGGAGGTTATTATCTACAGTGTTGGATACATGGAGGTTTAGAAAAAAGGTAAAATTGCTATTTCTGAAGGCGAAAAAGGGGTTCAGGGATCTATGAAATATCATTAAGCAACCTGGGAATAAAGGAGTATTTAAAATAAAGTGATTACAGCCTGAGTTTTGTTATCATAGAAACACTTTGTTAGAATACTACCATCACCCAGCTTTAGAAGGATCCCAAGAAGTCCTGTTGCCCCTGTCCCCACAACACCCATCCAAATGTCCTCAACACCACCACAGACATTTCCACCCTCTGTGATAAACAGTAAGTGAATTTTTTTTGGCTTA